TTCTCCTGGTGGTCAATGTTATGTTGAAGACTCTTCTCCAGCATCACAAATGAAAGGCATCAATTCTTCTATCATCCTTAGTTATTGTCCAGCTCTGTGATGCATAGCAGGTAATTGCAAAGACCATGGCCTGTATCAGGAGTACAGCTTTTCATAATATTCTGATATTATCAATTTAATTTCATCTGGTTCTGTTGTGATGGCATTTATATAATCTCTTTTTAGAAATAAAAAAAATTTATTTTGGTTTATTATTGGTTTGCTTACAAAGTTTATATATTATGTATTTGTATAAATCATTTTTATTTATTATATTTTCTAAAATTAACACTGAAATATGCCCACCATTGTCATCCTTCCAGATACCCTCCAGATCTTTCCCATTTCCTTTACCCACTCTTCCCTCCACCCATCAAATTGTGTGATCCTGTGATTTTCTTCCTACACATCCTCACCCCTCTGCTCCTACCCTCCCCACCTTGGATCCTCATACACGTTTTACTAGTTATATTTCTATTTCTACAATAATGATCGTTCACAGTATTTGTCCTTATGGGACTGAGTTCATGCATTATAATGCTTTCCAGTCCCTCCAAAGTTATGTAGTAATTTTTAAAATCATCGCTTCTGAGTGCTGCCTAGTATTCCATTGTGAGAATGTACCATAATTTATCAATCCATTTGATTGTGATTGGACATTTGGGCTGTTTCCATGTTTTTTGTGATGGGAATAATGCTGTTATGAATATTGATATACAGATCTCTGTGTCTTCTCTTTCATATCTTTTGTTAAGTGTAGCAATGGTTTGTGAATTTCATTGACCCTTTCCAAGAACCAGCTCCTGGTCTTGTTGACGGTTTCAATTGCTTTTCTGTTTTCTATCTCATTGATTTCAGCACTTGTCCTTAAAATGTCCTTTGTTCTAGAAGCTGTGGGGTTAGGCTGTTGTTTTTTTTCCCCCATTGGATGGAGGTTCTGAATTAGGTCATTAATTTTGCTTCTTTCTCCCCTTTTCATGTGTTTGCCTATTGCTATGAACTGCCTCCTCAGAACTGCTTTAACTGTAACCCAGAGGTTTTGGCATGTATTTTCATTATCATTTGTTTCAAGGAGCATTTTTATTTCATTTTTATTTCTTCTATAACTCAATTGTATTCTAGCAGGATGCTCTTTAGCTTTTGTTGTTAATTTCTAGTTTTATGACATTGTGATCTGAGAAGATAGTCTGCATTATTTCAATGGCTTTTAATTTGTTGAGGCTTGCTTTGTTTTCTAATATGTGATCAATTCTGAAGAATGTATTATGTGCACTTAAGAACTGATTTTTGGTTGGGTGCCATACCCTGAATATATCCACAAGGTCAAGTTGGCTGATTGTATAGATTAGATCTTCTGCATATTTGTTGAGTTTATTTTAATCGGCCTACCCGTTGGTGAGAATGACGTGTTAAAGTCTCCGACCATTATGGTGGTGCTGTCTTTTTCTTTCCTCAGGTCTGTTAACTGTTGTTCTATGTATTTTACAGGTCTATCATTTGGTGTATAGTTTTTGACCAAGGTTATGTATTTTTGGTTTATTGTGCTTTTTATCATTATATAGTACCTTTCCTTAACTTTTATGGTGGTTTTCAACCTGAAGTCTATTTTATCAGAGATTAGTATTGTTATTGCTGCATTTTTGTGAATGTCAATTGTATGGTATATTTTTCCCCACTTTTTGATTTTTAGTCCATCTTTTCCTTTTTCTTGGATGTGTCTCTTGCAGGCAACATATTGATGAGCTTTTTAAAAAAAAAATCTATTCTGCTACTTTTTTTCTCTTAAGTGGTACATCAATCATTCACATGAAATGTGATTATTGATAGGCTAGGTTTCACTGGTGCCATTTTGCTGTGTTTCTTTTTATGTTTCTGGTTACTATGGTCCATTCACTTTCCTTTTGTGTCTTTGTATGAAGGTCTTCCTTTAGAATTTGTTGTAGAGTTAGTCTTGTTTTTATGAATCCCTTAGGTTTCTGTTTTTCCTGCAAATTACTTGATTTCTCCTTCATAAATGATGGACAGCTTTGCTGGGTACAGAATCTTTGGTTGGCAATTGTTTTCTCTTTCAACCTTCTGTATAAGCCATCCCATTGTCTTCTTGCTCTCATGGTTTCTGTTAAAAATCAGAACTTAGTCTAATTGGTTCTCCTTTGTAAGCAACTCTATTTTTCTTGGGCTGCTTTTAGTATTCTATCCTTATCTTTGATGTGGGAGAATTTGACTATGTCTTGATGTTTTTCTTTTGGGGTCTAGCCTATTTGTGGTTTGCTGAGCTTCTTATGTGGATTTCCTCATTCTTTATAATGCCTGGGAAGTTTTCTTCCACAACTTTGTACATGCCTTCCCTGCCCCCTTTATGTTCTAGGATTCTAATCATACCTATATTGTTCCTTTTGATGGCATTCCACATGATTCTAATCTTCATTTTCCTTCTATCTCCCCTGTGTTTTCTCTTCTAGAGGGTTTCCATTGAGGTTCTTATCTTCTAGCTCACTGACTCTTCTATCTCTTCTGTTTTCTTGTCCTTCCAGCATGTTGGACACATGTCATTTTGGTCTTGGATCCTGGATTGCATTTTCATGGATTTCTGTTATTTTGAGTATTGTATTGGCTGTACCCTTTCTGTCTTGTGGTGATTTTTTTAAGTTCCTGTACCTTTTTAGATATATTTCTTCCATCTTTTGCAATTTCTTCCATAATTGTTCACGTTTCTCTGTGTCAATTTATTTCATTTGGCTCCCTGTCTCTGGAGTTTTCATTTTATGTATGGTTTTCATTCTTTCTTCCTTCATTTTCATCTTCTTCTGTAGCTGTTCATATAACTCCACTTCAATGGAGTTGAAGATCTTCTGCTTCCCTGGCCCTGGGGTATTTGGCCCTTGGGTATTTGCTTTATTTATGGTTTCCATTCTTTTTCTCATCATTTGTACCTTTTCTGTATCTGTTTATATGATTCCATATTTCTTCTGTCACTGTCTCTGGAGTATCCATTGGGTCTGCAATATGCTCTACTCTTTTAGAAGGTTTATTTTGTTTTTTCCACAATGTTTGAAGCTGCTTGCTGCTTTTTTTTTTTT